GCGACGCCCTGCAGGGGAAACCCACTTTGCTACCTCTGCTCCCGGTGCCCGCTGCCTAGAGGGGCCACGTGGGGCCACGTGCCCCCCGCTGGGTCAGTAGTGGAAAACAACGGGGTTTAAAACAAGAATAGCTATACACTGCCAAAAAAGACATGTTTCGCGAATTGCACAATCATCCATGGCCCCCCCACCCATCACCCAACCACTCGGAAGCAGTGCCAAGGTCCTTCGCGAGACACTAACTAACCTGGTAAGACAAGGAATAGCTACACTGCCAAAAAAGACATGTTTCGCGAACTGCACAATCATCCATGGCCCCCCACCCATCACCCAACCGCTCGGAAGCAGTGGTGTCAAGGTCCTGCGCGGGTCACGGCCACGGAGCGTTGCCCGCCGGCTGGAGTCGTTGCGGCGGGAGGGCCCGGGGGGCCCGGGCCCGGACCAGCGGGCTCAGGCTGGCTGCGAGAGATGTGCAGCAAAAACGCTTGCAAATGCCTCTTGCCAGTGCACGGCACATCTCCCGTCTCCCGTGTCCAAGTCCTTCCGGGGCGGTCCCAAGCGTTACGCAAGCGCCTGCTGGAACCGCGGCCGAAAGTTTGAATCAAACCTGGACCAGCGGCTCGCAGGCTCAAGCCGGCTGCAAGGGATTTGCCGCGCAACAAAGAATGCGTGCAAATAGCAGCCAGTGCGCAAAACAGACACATTCATCTTCTGACACCGCTTGGGTGGCCGTGTGGCGCGGGCGGCCGCGACCGTTTTGTAAGATGCCCGCCGGCTGGAACCGCGGGCGAAAGGCTGGCGGGCTCAGGCCGGCTGTATGAGATTTGCACCGCGACAAAGAACACGTGTGTATAGCCGCAGTGCGCTAAATACGCACATTCATCTCCCGGCCCGCCACCCACTCAGGTTCGTAACCTGCGGCGTACCGCGGGCCCAAGTGCAAATAGTGCGTAATGAGTTCGCTTTAGACGTTCAATAGTATGCAAAATTAGCCCACCACACACACACACACACACGGCGCTTCCTCCCTCCCGCCCGCTCAGTGCGAAAAGGGCCCACATACACAAGCGAAATAGCACACCGAGCACACCGAGCATCAGTTCCTCGCAGACTCCAGTCCAGTCAGCACACAGCTCACCACCATGTCCAGCGACTGCAGTGCAACGGAGTCGCGAGTCACGGAGACTTTGACACTCCAGTGGGAAGTGTACGCGTGGCGAGTGTTATTTCGGCATCCCAATCCGCACATCGCTTACTGCCATGCATATGCAGAGGGCAAAGAGTGTCTTTCACAGATGATTTTTAACCCGGCAGGTGAGTGTTACGGCGTGTGTTATCTGTGCAGTGAAGTGCAGCGTCTAATTGTAGTGTGTGTGTGTGTGTATAGCGGTCCTAGTGTCTACTGTGCGAATAACCGGGAGAATGGGAGACGACGAATGCGAAAGAACTGTGCCCAACTGCCATGTATGCAATGAGCGTATATGGCAGGGAATTGTGGACAATGGACCGCCAGTCGCTCTTAACCAGAGAGTGTCCGGCATCAGGCGCTGGACATTCGAGTCGGCACTTGTGGTCACCCCTGATCCCGAGTGCAACTTGGTGCACTATTGCATGGAGAAGCCATGCTTACGACAGGCGTTATCTGACAACGGTACGTTTCGAAAATTAATGTGCCAATTGCACACTGCACCTGCTCTCTCTCTCTCAAACACCTTGCAATTTGCAGGCAGAATCCTGTTCTTTGAAATGTTTACGGGAGGATCATCATTTTTCGAATTCGAAGAGGTGCAGTACACGGCGACATCTGTGATACCGATGGAGTGCAGAGCCTGCCAACGAACCTTAACAATAGAGTACACTGTGGAGGAATCTGAATAAAAAAAGAAATAGCCCGATCATTCTATTGTACTCATTCCATGTGTGATGCAGGGCCCCCGCGGGGGCCCCACGCGGGGGCTCGAAGCGCACCGATTACCTCCTTAACGTTAATCCAATTTCAGCGACCACGTTCTGCTGCACACACCACCACAACCAAAGTCGCACCCCTCACAACAACAGCTGTGCAGAAACTGAAGGAACCAGGCTCCAGCGTCGACCAGGTGAGTCTCACAGTAGGAGGGGAAAGAGGAAGACAGTTGGGCTGCCTATGTAGCGCGGCGCTAGTGCCAGCTAGGCCCGGGCCCCGTCGCGCTTGCGGACGGGAGGGAAAGTTAGCTTGGCTGTATATGTTGTACAGCCAGGGTGTGCAGCATATTTGCAGCATATTTGTCAACGTCTCAGCAGCGACCACGTCCTGCTTGCACCTGCTGCATCCTAGGTCCACCGCTCGAAACAACAGCTGCGCAGCTTGCTTCCCGGCGCGGTGGCCGGGAGCTGCTCCAGGAGCACGCCGCCGCCTGCTTCGTGTTGAGCACGGCCTGCACGGGGCCGACGGCGCGGTGGCCGGGAGC